TCAATATATTCTCATGAAAAAGAAAATGATATGTTTTAAGCACTATTTTCGAAACTATTTGTGTGTTGTTTGCTAACATCACGTAGCACTGATGAATTTCTTTTGTTTGTATTAACTGATATGATTTTATTTGCAACGAAGAAAAAAAGAGCCATGTAGGAAAAAAAACCAAGGATAAATAACATTTGAAGACTTCCTCATTTCATATTCCAATACATATAAGAAATTAAGTTCATAGTTTTTCTTGTTTTTTTTTTTCTTTTTCATATCAACAGTGGATAAATTTCTTAACTACTCCATTTAAATATGGGAATGGAACTTCTCCGTGCATATAGTATTTTTGGGCATTTCCAACATGATTTGTACCAATGGTTACCATTAAAAGATTCTAACATAATAACACATGTAGCTCCAACCTATATTAATAAAACTATGTTCGTTCATAAAAATAATCAAACTTCGTTTGTTAATAAAAGTAAACATTTTAATCCACGTGTTGGAATAAATCAAATTAGGGAAAAAAAACTATCACTTGTAGGCAAAGACAAATGTGACAATTTATAGTTCTTACACGTAAACCATTATTTCCAGCATTTTCACATTATTTAACACATATAACCAACTTCGACTTCATTACAACCGAACGATCATTTGGCACAACAATGGAATCCCGAGTTACACCTGAATTCAAAATTTGAAACATTATGATAAAATATTGTCAAATGCATTTTTTTAAAACTACATGAAAATTTAAAACTCATATCACGGTTGTGGAGAATAATTTTTCAGTCTAAGATGTTTGAACACTCTGCTTATCCATATGCTTATTACAACTTCGTATATCGTAATCTTATAGCATCAAACCAAATTGACCACTTTGTCGTGACTTCTTTCAGAAGTGTGAATTCCATGATAGGAAACTGGAAAAATAAATATATTTTGTACATATGTGGGTCAAATTGTAAAAAATAAAGTGTATACTTTAATTTGTTGTACCTACATTCAAAGATTTTTAAATGTGAAATTGATAATTTTATACAAATGGTTAATGTGAAAGTGGTAACGGCGTAGTTAACCACTAATACATCATCTTCTCATCCACTTAGAAAGACGAATACAATAAATTAATAAATAATATAATTAATAATCGATTGCCTCATTATTAAATTGATTTGTAATTAACGCTATATTGCAATTGGTTAATAATCATAAGTTAGTCAGCAGGTAAGGCCACAAACGAATTTCGTAATAAATAATTTCATCAAGTAATTATGTATAAGTAATTGTATAAATTAATTGATATTTTTTATTTAAAAATATAATTCAATATAAATAATTATAGTTACGTTTGATGGAGATATGATATTATCCATTTAAAATAATTCATTATCAATATTAATAGTTAAAACAAATAACTACAGGATTTGGTATTATCATATTATGAAAGTGGTAAATATATACTCAACCCACCAAAACAACCTACAAATAACTATAAGTTTTGGCATTATCATATTAAACTCCATTCAACCGAACTTCACTGCCAATTAAATAGGTCTCTTCCAGACTAAATATGTTTATAATTTTATTAATTCAATTTTATGCTTTATCCATTACTATTAAAATTACATTCTATTAATTGCTATTTCATGTTTGCCTAAGACTTTTATTGTCAATCACCTCATTTCGAGCATAATATTGTATATTTACAATTATAAAGATAATGGTTGGTGGAGACATGTTATTTGTTTAAAAATAACTAAATACAATACAAAAATATCAGAAAGAGCAATTACCGCCCACTACTCCACGTCCAAGGATCCTAATATTAGAGACAAAAATAAAAGTGTGAAAAATACTTACCATTTATGGAAAGTCACTTTTGAGAGACCCACTATTAAACTTACTAAAAAAAAAGGAATGAGTTGTCTAATTATATAGTAAATAGATAGATGTTATAAATATAATTAAATAATATCAATAAATCATTTAATTTCACTATCTTCAATATTATCAATATAAATAAATAATATCACTCAATCATTTCAGTACATGGCCAAGTGTCGACCCGACCTAGATCGAGCGGTTTTTTAAACGAACCCTTGCCCATTAAGGGCCGGTTCAGGGTCGTGTTTTTATTCCTTTCGACCCGCCGGACAAGGCCGGTTCCGAGCCGAGTCACGGGTCAGAAGATTGGTCATAATTATTTTTTATTTTATTTTATTTTTAAACTGGCGGTTCATTGGTCAGGCCGGTGCATTTGAATCGACCCTTAGATATAGTCAGGCCGATTCTGGGCCCAGCATTTGATGCCCGCCAACCCGATGGGCCGAGCCGGGTCGTGAACCAGCCCGACCTTTGAACACCTCTATACCGTCATAACCATCACTTTATATCATCTTTCTCATACTTTTACTTCATATCATCTATCACATAATTTTAATTGATCATTAGTTGATATCATCTCTCTTACTTTTACATCAAATCAACTTTAATTATTTTATTTTAAATATATTATTTTAATAGAAACTCAAAATCTCACTAATAACCAAGCATACAATTTTTATTTTTTTTTTTCTAAATTAGCTCTAATTAATCAAGAAAACCCATTTTGAGTGGAAATCTCACTAATACCCATTTTTGTATCCAATTAAAAGTTAAAACTCCAAATATTTTTTTTTTTAATTTTTTTTATCTAACAACAAATACTATTATATAATCTCAAATAATCTCAAATAAGGTACAATTGGTAACCAAATGATTAGAGAAACCATTTTCAACAACAATACTAGACAAGTACAAAGTTAAGACGAGTACAAATAAGGTACATTTAGTAACCAAATGATTAGAAAAACCATTTTCAGCAGCAATACTAGACAAGTACAAAGTTAAGACTCTGAACACCCGTAAATTACAAATTGTAATTGTAAGAATTTCTTTACATCTTTCATCATGATACAACTCCATTAAAAAAAC